CTTGAAGAGTGCACCTGGGAAGGGATTGATATTTAGGCAGAATTGGCACTTGAACATTGAGGGCTATTGTGACTCTGATTGGGCTAGTTGTGCCGATGACAGGAAGTCCACATCGGGCTATTGCATGTTTGTAAGGGGTAACTTGGTCTCTTGGAAGAGCAAGAAGCAGTCTGTTGTTGCGAGATTTATGGCAGAAGCAGAGTATAGGACCATGGCCTTAGGAGTTGTCGAGATGTTATGGCTGAAGACTCTATTGGAAGAGCTCAAGGTGGACCAAGGGGCTCAAATGAAGTTGTGGTGCGACAACAAGTCCGCAATCAACATTGCCAACAATCCGATGCAGCATGACAGAACCAAGCACGTGAAGATTGATAGGTTCTTCATAAAGGAAAAGCTGAATGCTGGACTATTAGAGCTAAGTCATGTAGCTACTAGAGATCAAGTAGCTGACTGCCTCACCAAAGGACTTAGCTCAATAGATCTAGCTAGGTTATGTGATAAGATGGGCTTGATGGATATCTTTTGCCCATCTTGAGGGGGAGTGTTGAGATATGCAATTTGTAGAAAGATAGGGGCTTGGATGTAAGATGTAACACCTTATATAGGCCCAAGAGGTCAATGAAAAAAACAACACGACAGATTCATTTTCTCTCTCAAAATTTCTACTCATAGATGTAGGGGGAACTAACAAAAGTAATAGTATTCACATAAGTAAATCTTTGATACAAATATTTACATAAAGGAAGCATTATAATGATCAACAAAGTATTTCATATTCTAAAAATTAATAAATGGAGAAGGTTGTTGTAAAGTGATTTGCTGAAAGCTGAAATCCAAAAGGGCAAACACAAGTTAAAACATCAACTACTATAGCCACCATGATAAACTAGATGATTACAGTGAGATTGAATTGTCAGATTTTATATGCAAAGAAGTATGGAGTTTGTACAGTGCAGAATCTTGCTAGCATGAGCATGCACCACTTCTTCAAAGGAGCTAAGGGTGCCAAGGGGAGCTATGATATTCTAGGATATCTAAGACATATGCAAGCTGCATGTGTGATCTTATACCAAAGGTTACTCAGTTTTTTTTTTTTTTTTAAATATTGCACACACAGTAGAGTAATGGGCTCCTTTGCATACATGACCTAAATGCATAACAAATGTGCAGTATCTACCAACCAATAGGCTCAAATTTTGATGGCTGATATCAGTTCACTAATAAAAATTTTTTTGACGGTCCTACTATGACCCCTTGTCCTCCAATCTTCCATTGATGCCTGCCTTTTTCCGATGGGAAGAGGTTCATTAGCTTCAAGGGAATCCATATAATCCAAACGCAATCGCTTAAGACAAATGTAATAAGCTAGATATATATAGTATATATGCTTCAGCTTGAAGGGGAGTGTTAGATATTATTAAATATCATAAGGTATTTGTAGATTTTACTGGATCTTATTGTCATTATCTTGTGATCACTTATCCTATGTAACCGCCCGTGCTTATCCTATGTAACAACTCTTGTGTATATATATAGGTGTGTGTTATTATCTTGTATATAGGTGTATGTTATTACCTTGTGATCACGTATCCTTATCCTATGTAACCGCTCGTGCTTATCCTATGTAACAACTCTTGTGTATATATAGGGGTGTGTGTTAATATCTTGCCATTACTTATCCTATAACCACCCATTTTTATCCTACATAACAACTCTTGTGTGTGTTATTATCTTGTTATCACTTATCCTATGTAACAGCCCCTGCTTATCCTATGTAACCGCCTGTGCTTATACTATGCAACAACTCTTGAGTGTTATTATCTTGTGATCACATATTCTATGTAACCACCCCTGGTTATCCTATGTAACAACTCTTGTGCATGTGTCCGTGCGTGTGTGATTCCTAATGTAATTAATCGGCACATAATCCAATTAACTGTAACTCGCTCTTGGACCACACATATAATATCACCCTTATCATAAATATCGCTATACACAACTTTATGATATCCAAATCTAAAATCCAATAAGCTATCGTGTTTAATAAACTCAATATGAAATTCAAACTCAATATGAAATTCTTATTGAGTTGGCAATATCAAAACCATAAACTCAGGTTTGGATGGGTGGTCAAGAAGGAAACCGAGTCACACCATTTACCATACTACATCCCATGTACGTGCATTATATGTGGATGAATCACCGATAACGATTAACTGGATTATCTGGCACAGGGTCAGATGACAACAACCATTGAAAAGGTAATTCTTTAAAAAATGCTGGAAATCTAAGAAAAGAAAATTACTAGCTACCATAACTACTTCTACAGTTGGAATGTATAGCAAAACTAAGTACCATTTCAGAAGTGTTCCACGCATCTCCGTAGGCTACATAGTGTTTCAGAACTACTAATGTTCGATATGTGCCTTAAGTTGAGACCGTAACCAACTTGGAAGGCATATAATTTATGGATGAAATTGTATCGGACCATAACCCCTTGACTTTGCTAAATAGAATGACTTTAAGTCATATAAGCATACGATCAGAAGAAAAAAGATGCTCCATAAAGTCAGTGATTCAAAAGAGTCTGTATCTGTTAAATGTCAGCAAGCGATTCCACCTTGTACAGAAAACATCACCTTGAGAAGATTTACTGAATTTTAATCTGAGAAATCTGATCAATTGTGACTTCCACAAATGAGATGTGGACACCGATAAATGTTCACTGCTGGTTGATGTGAGTAAACTACTTTATGAGACTTTGACAAAGATACAGAGTTTAAGAGTATGACAGGGAATTTTGTGGGAATCACGGATGTTCCTATAAAGATATTAATATAGAACCCATAGCAAGAAAGAAATAAGGAGAAGATAAAGAGAAAGGCAAGAACCTCAGGAATACTCAAGAGAATGAAGGATGAATATTATTTAAGTCACTAATAATGAACAAAATACCATCATTTTTAACAATCCCCCCTGATCAGGATTGTCAGGCTTATTGAGAGATTGTATCTGTTTTTGTTTGTGCTCTCAGTAACAAAAATACTGAGTTTTTTGAGGTGTACATAACTTCATATATGGTGGATGAATAAAGCTTTTTCATTTACCAAAAAAAATAAAACAATGAACAAAATATGTTTCAATAAATTATCTCGTAAGCAAAGTCCAAAAATATCATCTATGACCTATCCCAATAAATAGATCGCTTCTATTTCCAAATTTCCATGAAATATTGGATCCAAATTGATTGCTTTTTGCTGAATCTGATGACACAGAAATGATGGATGTAGGTGGGCAACAAGGTCCCTAGTACAAGTCTACAACTTAACATTTGGTACTTAGTGTGGTTGAATATATATAGCTGCTAAAAATATGATAGTTTTGTGGCTTCGGGGAAACATAATACAGAAAATTGATGGGACATCAACATCAGATCCTTTTTCATTGGCAAAAAAAGATAACATTTCAGTCTGCTCTATGCTTTTAGTTGGGAAATTCGAAGTTCTTGTTTATGAGATAGCTATATTTACAGCAGGATTATTCGATATGAGATAGCTATATTGCACAGTAGAACTTCAGTTCAAAAGGTAAATGTATACATGATAATTTCTTAGAAGATGAATTTCCAATTAGTAAATCAATAATAATGTAGGCAATTTAACAAATTCTAACTGATCGTCAAGAGAATCCTCAATGCAGTTTTTTTTATTTTCTATTAATTCCTAACTGAGGCAAGGATTGGGTATTACTTTGTTTGTTCATGATATGAAAAGAAAAGTAATTTAATTATAATTATCATAACCATTAATTGAAAATTGTAGTATGTTCATTTGATGGTAACCGTAATTTCTAGCAAGGTAAATAAGTACAAAAGCAGATTTGAAAATTAGACATTGGACTATTTTCACTTTTACTACCTTAACCTTCTCCAATTTTTAACTTTGGCACCCTAAAGTTTAAAAAACTACAAAAATGATACCCTAAAGTTTTTACCACTTTGGAACCTTCTCTTAGTTGACCATAGAGATTCTGTTAGATTACATGACAACCACATTATTACTTTTGGACATTTTTGCCCTTGTTTTAACTTTTGGACAGTTTACCCTTGTTTTAAACGGAAACCCTCTGAATTCTCTTCTTCTGTTCTATTTATAATTTTATATGGTTATCTAAGGTAGAAATGTCATTTTAAGTCCTCCCCATTAAGTTAACAGTGTTTAGATACTTCTCAATGATTTAGGGTACATTTTGTGCAAATTTATACTCGGCCTACTGAAGTAAAAAAAAAATTAGAGAATTTGGGTTTTTTTTTTTTGAGGAATTTGGGTATTAAAGTGAATAACTTAGATATTTAATAGAATACATGAAATTACACAGTACAAGAAAATAAGCTTCAAGTTACCAATTACAAAAGCTCCACCACTCATCCATGTAACTAAAGATTACCATATCTTGATGCTGATAACACTTTGACCAGAGACACCAGCTAGCTTTGCACAACTTAGCATAGTTGAATTCAAGATGCTAGAAAGACTCATTAACAGCTATCAAAAGGAAATACTAAGATGAAATTTGTAAGCAATACGAGCGTGCCTGAAAAAAAAAATGAAAAGGCCTCATTCATTAACTTGCAAGGTGTTAGAATATAAAATCATAACCCATAACGCAGACTAAAACTTTGGAATTTTGGTGAAATAGTTAGGATCTTTAAGATGACATCAGAGTAACCCAAATCCCACCAACCATAAATTTAAAACAGATTTTCTAAAAATTAGCACTGCTGCATGAGTCTAGGTTTCAGCCCATAAAAGGACGCTCGATATAAAAATATAACCCTCAACCCTCATTACAACTTTGGAGTATGGCAAGGACTTTAACACAAGGGAAGGACAAAAGAAAAGAGTTAATCCTTTAAAATTCAGAACATTTTAAAGAGAAGACTAGCCTCCACATTAACTTGCAGGGGGAAAAACAGGTTCAGAAAAGCGTCAAAACATTACCATATTTGTCACAGTGATATGCTAGTTTCAGCCCGACATCCAAAATCATCTTTCCCAGAGCTTTGAATGCTGCAAAGGTTATAAACTATCAGGAGGCACTTCTTACCATATGTTCATACTATTGTAAAAAAGATAAGTTTTAGAACTGAAATCTCTAATAGAAGTATCTGAAAGACTTTGTTTTTTTAGTTAATTAAGGGCTGAAGAGAACATTTATAGAAAAGTAATAAGAATGACCATATAATCATCATACAACTATTGATTTAAATTGAATCAAGATATTATACTCTTTCAACATTCCTGATCTTACAAATTCAGCTTAAGTACAATGACAATAACAAACAAACACACATATATGTTGTTATCAAAATTAATTGGCTTTGATTTATAACCTAAGTTTTAGGACAGGATGATCTGCATGTTTTTATCATGGCGTATCTGTAGCTATATTGGTGTGTTGTAGTATCGGCGAAGAAAATGGATGGAATTGTCATCAGTAGCTAAGGATCAAGGAAATTTTTTATATGGAAACATTTTTTTCAGCAGAAGTCAAGGAAGAAGGACCTCAAAAGATACAGGCTGTTTCTTTATTAGACGCAGAAGGTGCTTGAATACTTGAGAAAGCTGGTTTGTCACACTTACGAAGAAGAATATTTCAGTCTACCTCAACGAGATCGTTCAGCCAAGGGGGTAAGTGGAATACAACAATATGACATGTCAAGGCATCCCTCTTATTAACACGGAAAGCAAGCTTATGAATACCTCTGGGTCTGTTCCTAACAAGAAGTCAACAGAACATCGAAGTACTTGAAAATTCTAGTGAAGCGGTAAATGCAAATGCTTATTAAACTCTACACAAGTGCTAACTAAGCTGGGTCCTTATTTTACGAGATTAGTCACCAAGGATTATGCACTTATTGGTGAGAAATCTTATGTTTGGGGAAGTGATGAACAGAATATGGTTGCCAGATACAACTCGAGACTGAGGATCAAACCATAACTCGTACTACTTCACTTCAATGGATGAAGTCTACGGTAAAAGAGTTGGGAATTTGAAAAAACTTTTCTTCCTGCTCGTGTTTAAATCCATGTTCCCTGAAAATATTTTCTAAAACTACAGTTACTTTTTTTTTTGAGACAAGGTACTAGAAAGAATAATCACAATTCTTATGTTATAAGTACCAGGATACTTTTTCTTATGAAATGATTTTTTAATGGGACAGATTAAACATATCTGTAACAAGCTGGGCCCTTTTGCACTTTCGTTAGGTAAGGTCCCGCTTGACTTATGTCCTATGTATATTTATTGGGGTGTTCTTCAACTTCAACTGACCTAAATATAGTGTCTGATACCCTCCGTTGCACCTTGCTCTACTACAATTCCTTTTCCATCAACTTCAACTAACCTCACTTTGTTCAGTCAACCACCTTTCTTATTAAAGAAAGGCACGATACTTCCATCTATACTAAAGATCACACAATTATGTATTCTTGAGAATTGATCATTCAATGATATTTCAGATCTGGAATGATTATTGATGGGTGCTTGTTCTCAAATTTCATCCTACCTGGCTCTATTTAAGAATTTAGCAGATAATATAGATATAGTTTGCTACCAATGAAGTTATCCTCAAATATCACTGTAGCATCATGTTAACCAAAATTATTTTAATAAAAGAACCAATAAGAGGTATGCTCATTGATAAAATTCAATGTTACCTCAGAGAGCCAAATGTAGCTAAAATTTCCAATTTGTACCTTTTGTTATTCAATAATTTGGCACCGATATACAGATGGTATGGCTTAACATGTGCAATGGAAACAAATGAGTCAGCCAGTTTGGAGTTAAACATGAGCGGAGATTGCCGAGAGAGGAACACCAGGGATCAAAATAAAAGAAGATGAATTGGGACATAAAGACACCATCGTTGAAAACAAAGTGGAATGAGGGAGATGATTCCTGTAGCTGATCTAAATGATCTCAAATATGGCTTTTTCCTTGTAGACATGCTGCAATAATCTACTTGTGTCCTGTGACTTCTAGTCATGGAGAATTATGACAATGTAGAACAATTCATAGAATGGAATAAATATAAAATTTCTAAACTACCTTTTGTTTTGGGGACAGCACAGGCACAAAAGGGTATGACAATGCATGAATAAAAGTTGAAGGATCACGTTATGGCATTTTGTAAATTACATTAACAGAGTCATGAGAATGATGCTCACTTACCCACTTCAAGCTCGGGCAAAGCACTGCTGGGCCATTTATTTGGACAACAAAATGATGGGTACCTAGCAGGCGGATTCATTTATAAAAATAAGAACAGGATGATTTAACATAATGGAGTACCGCTGAAAAGAAAATTTAATGTTATTTGAAAGAAAAATCACAAAGAAAACTAGTAAAGATATTGAAAACCTCTTGGACTAGACAAAAAAGTGAGAAATCAAATTACCATGTGAAGAGAGAAATGCAGAACAGAAAGAGAAATCAAATAAAATATTACAAGATTCTAAGAAAAGCGATAAAGAACATAATAGGAAGAAACCTAAAGTTTCCATGAGCAGAATATGTATTAATCATTAGTATTCCCTGTTAAAAGAAAGTTTGGAGTATTCCATGACCATCGAGATTCATTAAATTGTTGAAATGCAAGTCAGTGACTAAACTCCTAGAGGATGGATGCCAGAAAATCAATTGATTCGGAAATTGGAGAACACTATTCTCAACACGTAAGAATTATTAGGTCAAGGTCGATGAGATGATCTATGCTGTATGACTCACTGATGAGACAATGCTTTGAGAAAATAAAAATAAAAAGTTTGCAAGAGAATGCTTGTTATTCATATTGAAACACCATGCTTAAGGTATATTGGGCACTGTAAGACGAGAGAATGCTTCCGATTGTGTGCCCGCACATGCGATAGGGGTAGTGACAGTGTAAGCCATTTAATAATTAAAAGGGCAAAGCACAAAGATGAAGTTGTGGATGATACTTGTATAATGGAGATCGAGTGTTATTGGTATTCTGGTTAAACAATTGTCAGCAAACAGGATATAAGCTACAGGAAATTGATATTTGTAATCTCTTCAGGTCAGTGGTTACCTGTAAATGTTGATGCAGCTAGTGTGAGTTTTGGACTGGAAGGGCCTAGTGTCAGCAAATAATCAAGTTTCCTTCTCAATTTACATGGGCACTGAAGATATTCCTTTAAGGGTCCATCGAGTTAGTAGTCAACTTGGTTCAAAAGACAAGTTGACTTTATTGAAATCTTGAGCTGAGGAATAACATGTTTATTGTGTTTTTTTTTTTTTTTTTTGCATGAAAGAATTCATTATTTGGGTATATTAGCGATAAGGTCCAATTTCTGTCCAGAATTAATGGTATATCTTTGAAATAACTACCTAAATGTGAAGCTATAGTCTGACAGTTTACATTATGTAAAAAAGAGTGCATAGGATGATTCTGACGGAAAAAGATAGACGCAAGGTTGTGGCATAAATATGTTCAAATTGTGTATGCTTCATGTACTATTCACATAGAATAAGAGTTCGAAGAATTTCATATGCTTACACGTCAATTTCCAAAGATTCGTAGGCATACAGGTCTCCTACACATAATCATCTGTACAGACATATGATACGTGAACGAGTAATACTTGGACAAATAATACTAGCATTTACAACAGGTGAAACAAGTAGCAGTGTTGTGACCTGTGCAAGATGTATTTCTAATTTTGACTTTGGGTTGCTTCCACTAGCAGCAGATGTTCATAGGTGAAATTATGATTTTCTATTTTATTGAATCTTGACTTTTATTTGGTTAATATAACATAAAATTGGTTACATATATTGTTGGATCTTAGTAATGTTCTTTTGACATGTCTACTGAATTTTTGGTCTCACTTACAAATAACACTTGTATGCATCCGTACCTTAATTTCTTGCATCGATGCTTCTTATCACCAGATCTTTGTTCTCTATACCTGACTCTATTAAACATGTAAGTTCCACATATCATATGTTTGTGATATATCGGATTACTGACAGAGTAGTATACTTGAACCACTTAATTCCAGAACTAACTTTGAAAAGTCATATGACTATTAATTGAGAAGTGGTTGACGAGATTTTGTAAGTTGGCTCATAGACTTCACCACATTCTATGTGATTGACTTAGAAGCTAAACCTATGCTGAACCCACCCCACCCCACCCAAAAAAATAAAAAAAATAAATAAGCAAAAAAAAATAAAAATAAAACTTCAAACCCTCAATCTGAACTTGAAGTAGCTACTGGACGTGATTTAGCCAATGGGTTGGCTTAAGCAGCCATCTACAACATATTTGGTCTTGTTCCAGTTAAGCTCAAGACAACTTCCCTAATAGAGGGGGCAGTAAACAAATCCCTCATCCCCCATTAACAAGTGCCTCAAGGCTGTTCTGAAAGGGAGAAGGCCACCTCAACCAAACCAAGACCTGATTCAGAGTTGCTGCTTCAGATAAATTAGGAGTGGATCAGCCCTTCTCTCTTGCACTGGGACCTAATCCAGCCGGTAACAAATCAAGGGACGAGGGACTCAGCTTGTTTATGCATTGAGAATCATGAAGAAATAAAGTCAACTGAAATGAAGTGGTTAACGGAGAATCATGGAGCCCTCTATCAAGCCTTCTTAGGACCCTAATTATGCAACATGATACCTAGCCTGCAGCAATTTC